GACACTGCTCCACTCCGCCTTCGCACTCTAGTACGGATGGACCAGCTCGGATACCCTACATTCCGCTTTCACTAGTTATAGGATTTTTGCCTTCATTAGACTAGTCATTTATCTCGGGCATCTGTTAGCCCGAAGATCGACCTTGTATTGTAGTTTCTGTTTTATTTCTTTTTCTGTTTTTTCGGTTCTTTCTCGTTGGTTGCGACTTGTGAGACATTGTAGACTATTGTATTTTGATCGTTGACATTCTGGGCCCCAATTTTGGGGTCCTGATCTATTCACAGGTTGGGGATCTAGCCTAATCCCCCGCCCTTCAGGGGTGTTGTTTGTTTTTTTTTTAAAAAAAAAAAAAAAAACCTAGCAACATACAATTGCAACATGATAAAACCATCCTTGCAGAGATATATAAATAACCAAGCAACATAAGACAACTAACTTTGCAACAACGGACTACTAACCTAGCACCAACAGATAACTAACCTAGTACCAACAGACAGCCAACCTAGTAACAACATACAACTAATCTAGCAGTAAAATACAACTAACATAGCAACATCAGACAATTAATCTAGCAAGTATTATACTAGTTAACAATTTCATTTATTGTTCTGATTTTCTTTCTATCTTTAAACAGGTACAACATGGTGTTTGTACCATTTACGGGAATTGATAACCACAAAAAGTGTGTCACATTTGGAGTTGGATTAATGATTAAAGAGGATGAAGCATCATACATTTGGTTATTGGAAAAATTTTTGAAAGCTATGGGAAGTGAACCATATTACATTATCACTGACCAAGATCCTGCTATGAAGAATGTAGTTCGGGCGACTTTCAAATAGGCAAGACATCGTTTGTGCGTGTGGCATATCATGGAAAAGGTAAATGTAAAGGTTGGTCCTACATTAGCCAAGGATAATAACTTCACGAAGAGGCTAAATAAAATTGTGTGGGATATTTACATGAATCCTGAGGAATTTGAAGAAAAATGGAGAAAATTGATTAATGATTTTGGATTAACAGAGAATCAGTGGTTTACCACACTATTTCAGATTAGAAAATCATGGATACCAGCATACTTTAAGGATGTCAAAATGGGTGGCCTACTAAAAACATCTTCTAGGTCTGAAAGTGTTAATAGTTGGTGCGGAAGTTACAAATCTCCTCAGGCAAACTTAGTTGAGTTCTTTATGCATTTTGAAAGTGCAATGGATACACAAAGGCATGTTATAAGCAAGCTGGATCATGAATGTGTGAATGCACCTCCTGAGTGCAAGACACCGTTACAAATTGAAAAACATGCTGCAAAAGTTTACACAAAAACAGTATTTTCGGAGGTGCAAATGGAGATTGAAGCAACATGTTTTAGATGTGTGCCTGTGCATATTGAAAAGGAGCATGAAACAATCAGATATAAGGTTGTAGAAGTTGGTCGAGATGGTGTTGAATTCATTGTTAATAAGTGTGGGGATTTGGTGGATTGCAGCTGCAAAATGTTTCAACGGTTTGGATTGTTGTGTCGTCACACAATAATGCTAGTCAAGGATTTAGAGCGAATACCAGAGAAATACCTCCTCAACCATTGACTGAAGGTTGCTTCTTTTGGACATGAACTTGTTAACGCAAGATTTAATCCACTTGATGGAAAAAATCAAAGAAATGCATATATAAACAGTTTATGGTCTGATTTTTATTGTTGCATAAGTCTTGCTGAAGGTAACAAGGATAAATTGGAACGATTATCGAGGATTATAAATGAAGAAAAGAACCATTTGTTGGATGCACATCAAGTTTCAAGTTCAATCCTAAGTAAAGAAGTTGTGATACAAGAATTCTATGGATCCGTTTCGAATCTTGATGTTGATATTCTGCCACCAAAGCAAGCAAAGAACAAGGGAAGTGGAAGCACCACAAAAATCCGACTGTTGTCACAAAAAAGAAAAATCCATCAAAGAAATTCAAAAGCTGAAAAGACGTTTTCGAAAATATTGAGAAGTGGGAAATCATAATAGTATAACTTGTAATAAGACTAGTGACATATCTTCTTGTAATAAATAGTTCTATATGAATAAGCAGCGGACTTATTCATATATTTCTGGAGTTGTAATAAGACTATGAATTTTGATGTGTTGCTACTGCATAGTATTGTTCCAGAAACATAACATCTACATTGAACTAACCAAGCAACAACATAGAACTAACCTTGCACTAACTGACAACTAACCTAGCACCAATATACATCTAACATTGCAACATGATGAAACTAACCTTGCAAAGATATATATTTAATCTATGGAATTCCTCATCATTTTTCTTTAATTGGCTTTAAGTTTGGAGATAAAAATTTCCCTCAAACTTTGGCAAGCAAATCAAATCTAATCCTCTATAACCACACGGTTTTATCACTTTTCCTACTCTTCCTTACATCATCAGCCATCACACAATTTCCTATTCATTTAAAAGCCATGGATCTATTCAAGAATTCGGTTTCCCTAAACCTGCTAGTATCGAGCATCTACGCAACATTTTAATCTCCTCAAATTACAATCGCCTAGACCCAAAATCGCCATAGCCTTCAGCTTTCCTTTTCGCTCAGCAACCTCCATCCTCCTTGCCGCGATCACCGATACGAGTGCACCCCGGAGACCATCGGCAACCGGCCAGTCACGTGAGTAGAAGCACACCTTACTGCCAAGGAGAAGATCCACGAGCGTCAGCCTCTATCCACGCGAGCAGAAATAACAGCCTCCGTTCGTGAGTTTTGTCGAGGCTGAGTCTAATATCTCGTAGATTCTCGCAGGAGGTAGAACTCCATTTTCCTCCTTAAGCGTTAAATTATAATTGAGGAGTATGATTATGTTGAAGGTTCATGGTGTGATCTTTTGAAATATTTAATATATTCATGAGATCGTTAGAGTTTTAAGAAAATTATTGGACTCTCGAGTTTTTGTGTAGTGTTTCAGCTCTGAAATCATGTGTGCATACCTCAAAATTTTGTTATTTTTTTTTTTTAAAGCTCTTGAAAGTATGTGAAAAATCGTTTCTAATTTCCTTGCGATTGGATATTGAAGCCATGACTTTTGTGTCTTACGGAATTCTAATTGGAGGTTGTCCTTATGTCGTAAAATCAGAGAGTTTTAGTCCCTTAAATATATGGAATTTTATTTATTTTATTTTTACTGTGAGGCCAGCAGATATAGTTAGATTGTGGGGGTAAAATGCTTGTAAATAATTTCAATCTTTTGCCATGGGATTTGAGCATAAAGCCGTGGGCTTACAGGTGCTTTATTCAAATTTTACAAATCTTGTTAATAGCCCTTGGTTTTTATTATTAGCCTCTGTTGTGGAAAATTTTGTTTGATTTCCAAAATGAGTTAGATGTTGTGAATTTTATTTTGAGATAAAACACTTTAGTATTTTTGTCAAAGGAATCGGATTCTAAATTTTGAGTTCCGAGCCATTTAATTTTCAACTATTTCAAACATATATATATATATATATCTCTCTTATATCTTATATGGGAGAGTTAGACCTCTTCAAATGGCGACACGTGTCCATTTTGGTGGTGCTCAAAAGTTGACACGTGTCCTTTTGTGGACCAAAATGTCCTTCATATTTTCTACTAATAACAACTTTGCCATAGAGTATTTTTATTGTTAATTAAATGGGCACTTCTCTCTTACCTATATATGGAGAAGTGGGGCTATTTCTGCTCTTGACACGTGTCTCATTTCGTCTATCTCACAACTCGACACGTGTATGTATTTTCCCTTTCTTTAAATTCTAATGTCGAAACGACGTCGTTTTGTCACAGTTACAAATTTGGGTTGACTGAATTAATTTTGACTGCTTTTGGATGTTGGTCATTTCATATTGTCAGTGTTGTTGGTGCTGCTACACTCACGTTCTTTCTTTTGGGGCCGTTCAAACAACCGCAAAATCTGGGGCGTCGTGCGATTCGGTGACTGTACGATGTGATGTCCGTGAATTGGGTGGGATTGCCGGAAGTGTGTATTCTTGCGTGTGATTGTTGAATTTTATTGTTGTTCCTCTTATTCAATTTTCAATATTGTTTCAGTGATTGAGGTGCAAAACCTCATCTTCCAACTCCAGCCTAAAAACCCTAGCGGCGGCGGCGAGGCGATGGACGGCGGTAGACAAACTACAGTGCAAGGAGCAGCTGCAACGACGACGACAAAGCAACGAGGCCTACGAGGCGAGCCATAGATAGAGAGATAGAGGGAGATCGGAGGGGCGACGAGCCAACGGCAGACAGATAGAGGGAGACCGGCGGGGCGACGAGCCAACGACAGACCGATAGGGGGAGAATAGTGGAGACTGGAGAGGCGAGCCGGCGACAGAGTGAGTGAGGACCGGTGCCACGGTGGGCGACACAACTCCACGGTGCGACGGTCGACTGCTTGGACTGATGACGGTGGCATCGTCGGTGGCTCATCGGCCTCCGATGGAGGGAATCTCGATGACGACGTTTGAATCCTTGTTCTCCTTTCATTAATGAACAGACCCGGATGGTGAACCCTAGGACGAGGAATTTATTCGAGCCAGGAGAAATTTCCCGCCGAATTTTGAGCCGAGATGTTCAGTCGTACATCTATCAAGACTACATCTTCTCCTCAGTGTGAGTTTCAGATTTAAGTTCCCTCAATCCTTATGCATTAAGAATTGTTTGAAGTCTTATGCTTTGTTGTTCATTGATTATTTGCCTTTGTTCAGCATCAAAGATATGCTCATTTTGCTGGGAGGGTTGTTTTACCGTCGATTTTTATTCTGCTTCTTTACCCTCCCCTTGTGGATTGGTTGCCGACACCATGTGGTTCACGCACTCAAAAAATTGTGTGAGTTACACTGGTTATTGTTTTATCTGAATAATTTATATGATAAAAATTAGGAATAATAACTATAATAACTGAAATCATTTTTAACTTGTGTTGGATCGTCAGAAATTGGATTTTCTTATATGGTTGCTTTACCCATCCATCGTGAAGCTCCAGCCTTTGTGGAGCAAGCTACAGAACAACAAATTCTTGTCACTGGTATCAAGGTACTACCTCACTGGTTCTTTTGGAGTATTCTTGTCACATGTACTAACATCTTACTCATTGCTCCCGTGACCACTCAGTTTCTTCATTTGGGTTTTGATTCTTTCTTCTCTTCATCCGGCAGGTTGTCGACCTTCTGGCACCTTACCAGAGAGGAGGAAAGATTGGTCTTTTTGGTGGTGCTGGTGTTGGGAAAGACTGTACTTATTATGGAACTGATCAACAATGTTGCAAAAGTCCATGGTTATGTTCTTTTCTGATGCTTCATTCATCAATCTTCATTGTGCTCAGCCTTCTGAGATCTCATTGCTTTTTTATTTTCCTTTGTCAGGTGGTTTCTCTGTCTTTGCCGGCATAGGAGAACGTACACGTGAGAGTAACGATTTATACAGAGAAAATTGAAAGTGGTGTCATCAAGCTAGGAGATAAGCACCAGGTTTATTTAATTTCTCTAGATCTATTTTGAGTAAATAAATAGGTGAGTTAATGCTTGTTGGGGACAGAATAAAGATATTCACGATGTTCTCCAGGAGGGATGTTGTAGAATTTAATAATATCATTTGTTTTGTAAGAAACTTCTGTAGATTGGAAAAAGGACACGTGGAGATGTAACTATTTTACGGACCCTTGTCATGAATAGTAATCAATATTGAGGTGTGTGAGTTATTTATTTGTGATTCGCTTCAAGCATGCTAAATATAATTGTCACCAATGTGGTTCTTGTTTTGTGGGTACATTGTTAAAAGGTTCCGTTTTGAAGGCTATATGTGTTGATTTTTGAGAAAAATGCCATAAGCTTGTTGATGAAACTTTTTGGGTGCTGATGTAGAGATTGAACAAGTGCTTGAACAATAATGGTACAAATACAGTTGCAGAGCACATTTTTCTCAGTGATATGCAATTCTTGAAAATTTTAAATTGAAAATCAAATGGAAAAGAGGAAATGGCCGTGGACAAAGAAATCATCTGAAAGGAGTCCCGGGGAGAGCGAAAGCTCGGCATCATTTTCTTCGCACTCGGAGAGATATTTTGATGAACAGGTTCGGTTATGTTGAACCTCACTTGCTTTTAAGTTATCATTTCTCGGTCTAAATTATTTTTGTTGATTTTACGTTCGTTTTCCCTGTTCGTCCGGTTGGTTTACCATGCAAATAATTCAAGTTAGTTTTTTTGTACTTAATGTCATCTGGTTTCATTAGGTGAATAGATGATTTGGCATCCACAAATGCTCGAGTTTATTCGATTATTGAAGCACTAGATGATTTCTTCCTTGTTTATACTGGCTTCATAATTTAACAAAGTATAAATGTTTATATTATTCAAGATTTTCTACATTTTCTTCTCCATCTAATTTTGTAGATCTCTTGTAGTCTGAGGGTAATGGCAAAAAGTCCATCTTAGGGATGGTTTTCTATTAATTTGCAGTTAATGTCTTATTTGACTTTTTCTTTCCCTTTTTTTCCCCTTTTTGTTCAGGAAGTATTGAGAGAAGAACAACCTCCGAATGATAATAATCCGCACTCTCCAGAAGTGACCTCAAAAGCTCCATCAATGGATGATGAAGAGTGAACGAAACTGTCAAGAGCCTAACACAAAAGCTATCGGCAGCTCTTGTTAACATTAGCACAAAAGAAGGCTATGGCAGATGAACATATGGAAGGACAACAATGCGGCATTGCCAACACAGTTATCAATTGTGCCTCTGTTTCTGATGCCGGGTTCCCTACTAATTTTGATGCTGACCTTTTTCTTTACATGCAGGTAATTCTTATATTTCTATACTTCTCTGCAGTGGATTTTTAAAGTTTTTCTGTATATATCTGTTTGCGTGCTTTTGGCCTTTCGGGCATTTTCTCTTCTTTCTGGTTAAAAATAATTTAAATATACTCACATGTTGGTTTTGCTTTTAGTATTTTATTAGAAAGGTTAATGGAATATGTTCTTCTACAAAGCTCAAGAGAAGCATAAAGATGCCCAATACTTCAAGTGGGTAAGGTGTAAAATGGATGTTGAGGGAAAGAATAAGGGAAATTAGTTCATCGTGGAAGAATATTAGCATTTTTATTCATATGTTTGATTTGGTTTTCATATGTGCTTACTTTTTTGACAGCATTTACCTTCTATTCTTTAAGAAAGAAGACTATGTGCTCCCTTTGAAAACCAGGAATGTTAATTAATTCCCTTCGATTTTTTTTGTTTCTTTTTTTCCTCTTTTTTGTATCCCTTGAATATTCTTGATATACTTTACTTATAAGATTTACCTATTATTTAGTCCTTTTTTGTTGGGTTTTGTTTGGGGTGTGGGTAGTGTAAGGTGGTTGGTAAATTAGAATGTTGCTAAACTGCTAAATATAAGCTTTGGAAATGTATTTGAGACTACTCTGCGAACATGTTGGCTGTGATGCAATAGTGGTTGCACTTTATGACTGCTCTACAATTAATGTCAAGCAGCTCTCTCCAATAAAACTGTGTTAATAGAAGGTTGAAATGGAGGTCTTTAATAAGTAGTTTACGAATTGACAATAGAAAATGGATTTCAATGCTCATTACAAGTGATGACAATTTTTCACTACATTTTTATTCTACTTATAAAAA